CCACTCTCTTCGAAAGGTCTCTACTGTGCTTTGCATCAACGTTGGCTTATAAATAGCGCCTCTAAAACAACTATAACTACTTTTCGTGAATCTAAAGCTAGAACATAAACTAACGTTAAAAATAAGTTAATCCTACCCGGTGATAAAGCAAAACCGTGCTTACAACGCAATACCACACCACAAGGCTAAGCGCGGGTATTTCTTTTCAAGCTTGTAGACCTGAACAAGCGCTTACCTGCGCACTGTCCTACGCCTTCATGTTAAGTTCGCAGCAATGAGGGACGAACATTCCCAGAGCTGAATGCACTACAGTCTACAGTGACTTCTAAGGCAACCCAAGTCGACAAATGTTCGGTTGTAGAAGAATGTTGAAGTTCACACTGGTCGCGCATCAGCCTCGGGTCATCAAAGAGAGATTCAATGAGTAAGGTGGGGCTTCCAAGAGTGTCGTCTTGGGTACATGTAAGGGAGTGCAGGTTCATGATGGTTGCACCAAGTTTTTGTTTTTGGTTTTTAAGCTAAGCCTTACATCAATCACTTTTCAACTTTCCTTCTCGGCCTCACTTCACCTTCTTCACTTCGTCCTCTTCGACGCCTACTTCCTCTACAACACCTCTACAACACCTTTCCAACACTTCGCCCGCCAATCGGTAAGTAACTAAGGTCTCCTGTCATTCGAAGCGGGACGCTTTTTCTAGTTTGCTACGTGTCTGCTAGTGTGACAATGGGATTGCCATTGCCCGACAAACTGCAAGTCCAGCTCCACGTTAAGGTTGGGCAGCCATACACGAATCGTAGAACGACGTATGACCCTCCCATTACCTTTTATTCCTCACACAATGATAGTAAGTGTCGATTTCAGCGGGAACGCTGTCTCTGGCTTGCTTTGTCAAGACTTTGCGTTAAGGCAGAGGTCACAACGAAGAGCACGGCATATAGTAGCCGTCGAAACGTTTGTAGTGACGGAAATGTAGACTGGATAGAGACTTGAAGCTCTTCAATATAAAAGCATGGATGCTACCCTTGACGAACTTAATGCATTCTGGCGGCCATCGCGTCTTTCTTGTATTTCGCGTGTTCGGTATCACATTACCTCTACGACGAAACAGTAAACCCCAACGAGAAATAGACCGCGTCGAGACCCCATAATGAACGCAGCGACACTTAGGTCAATGTCGTAGATGCAGGTCAGCACAATCTGTCAATACCCCAAGTGTACCCAAGTTACATGAAGAGTGCCCAGTCACTCTTGAGATACCTGGTACAT